AGGGAATCATATTGAGTGCAGTTTGCTGAGGCTTTGACGGGAAGTTTGTCTTTGAAAACGCATTAAATCGATGCTGCATGTTTTTCAAATATGACATTTCACTTTCGCAACTTCTTCAAGAATAAGTCTCAAAATGTGGTAATTTTCTGTTGCATTAACGATGCTCAACTACACTAACTCAACTACAGTGGAAACTTAAAAAAGAATCACGATCACGGGGTGAAATATTATTGTTTCTGCTCAAGATTTCTTTTCTGTTTATAACGATTGGGACGTCATAAACACAAACTTCAAACACTTCATGATTATTCAAATTGTAAGGACATTTTAAATTTGAGATGACACAGGCTAATTTTTAATGAACATCCGCGTAACAAACAAATATATTTAGATTAAGAAATAATTGATGGATACGAAATGTTGGAACGTATTTTATTGATGTTACGAAAATGAGTTTTAGCTTCTAATTCATGCTAGATTGTGTTATTTCAAAAAAGTGAAATTTTCTTCATGCATCTGATAATGCATAGACCTCATTTTACAGTCCAAGTGACTTGAATGGCATTAAATTCATTTCTTAAAAGTACATGAGGTAAAAGATATTGGTTCGATGTAGACATCTCTTCAATTACAGCAAAAGTTTAGAACGAATCGAATTCATATGCCACCTGTTGTTTATTGACCATCATGTCATTTTTTAATCATATATGCTTTAACACGATTGAGATAATGAGGAAAACATGATTCTAACATCAAACACACTTATTTTGTAGGACATATCTAGTCAGTATAATCTATTTTCAGGCATTCTTCATTGTTTTTATTGCTAAAAAATGCCGTCAATCTTCTGCTTTACATTTACAGAGGCTAACCTTGAAGGAAATGACTAAATCTGAGGTTAAAACATGCAGATGTGAAGCAAACATTCATATGCCGAATTCGCATTAGAAGCATCTCTGGTATTGCACAGTGTGCATAACATATGTATACGCGCAACATATTTTTAGATATTGGTTACAACGTGTGCTTCGCATGAAATACTGGATTAAATTAAGTATGAATGGCGGATATCAGATGCACTGGCAACACACCGTAGACTGTTGTTTCATTGTATATGTGAACTATATTTTTCTGTCCTTATTCCTATTATTATCATTGGCTTACTTTTTTTATTCTTTATTCTATTCCTTCTTTATACATCTACTGGGTCCGACTGTATTATCACTATGATTATTAAAAATTGTCCCGTCATTAACCATCATGTAACATTAGTTTTGTGGTTGTTCTTTGTTCGGCACTATTTAACTGACAATCTTGTTTGTTATTGCCACTATCCACATCTTAAAAAAAAATTTTGTATTATACATGATTCCTCACACTACCACTACAAACAACCGCATTAGTGCTGACAATAAAAAAAAACAACCTGAAAGGTTTATCTTATGATTGCTTAGTGTTGTTCAATCAGATTAACTGATCATCTTAGCTATAAACATTTTTTTTAAGAACATCTCATAATTCCCCGTATGATTATAGCTGTTACTGTTCACCACGCATACTCATATCGTAGCTTCCACTAACCAATACTGAAATATTTTTTCATTATTTGTGTTTATCTTCCTTCTTACTTGGCATTTTTTATTGCATTTTTTTTGTTATTTCTGTGTTTCTTTTGGTTTTTTTTTGTTGTTATTGTCTTTTTTTTGTTTTTTTTGTTGTTTTTTTTTAAATATTTTTTTTTATAATACTCCTTTTAAATGCATGATGAAATTAGATGCAATATTGTAGATATGTGCTGAAAATTCCACACTGTACCACAAGTACTGTTTCTGGAATAAAGCGAAATTGTTATTGTTATTGTTATTGTTTCAATCCGTATTTCATTGACATCAGCACTGTGTATCATTAGCTTATCTTCCGTATAAATGCCGAATTCTATCTGGACTGAGAGTATCATTAAGGTAAAGGCTTTATGCCACGGTCGCTGAGACACAGTGTATCAGAAGTATTGAATAGCCTAATCGACTTAAGAGATTCCTTCACCAAGGTAAGTCAGCAATCAAGACGACTGACGGCTTCACTGTATCACACCATCTCTGAAAACAGACTATAGGCTTCTAAAGATAGTTGTGAAAACCTAGAAACGATCTCCCATATCAACGCTCCTGCGCATCAGCATTGGCATATCTCAAGGAAATTTTCTAACCGTTTAGAAAATCAGGTGTCACTAAGTAATTTATACGTCGTAAAGAATATTTTTTTATACGCTGCGCAGATACTGAACTCAACTAATCTCTTTTTATGCATATGACATCCATTCATTATCTAATCTGTAACATATTGTTCAAAAGACTTATTTATTTTAAGCAAAACCTCCTGAAACCAGGCATCTCTGTCACAGTTAAATATATCCTACACGGTTTTATGATTTTCCCTTGAGTGTCATGCGATATTTATTTGACGAAGTTTGCCGGTATGAAAACGTGAAGGCTGAAGAACACGAATATCAATTTTCATGTAGTTCTTTATTCAAAATTTTTCATGGATAAAGTTTTACTTAACCAAGCGCAAGCATTACTATTCAATTTCAACAATATAGCTTTAACGAATTGATATAATGAGAAACTCAACTAATCTTTAACGGATGATTCTAGAGAAAAAAAACAGAAAAAACAGTGTAACTGTTTCATGCTGAATGTCGAGGGAATACGCGTCAGTTACCTCAGCATTACGAAGAGATGAGGCAAAAATAGTAGACGCTTGGAGTATCATGCTTAAAAATTTTCCAGATTCATTTTATATTTAAAATCGTTAAGCAAATGCTTCCACAAGTCTCAAATTTTGATCACCCTGAGTACAGTAACAATTTCTTTTATGTTTCAAATGCTGCAGCTTCTTTCTAGGTGTTAGCATATCAATTCTCTTGAATGAATTTTTCATTAAAGCTTTATAAAAACTGGTGAAATCGTGAAATGAAACTCTTATGGATGACACATTCAATACAACTTGTTAACATAAGAAACCGAATGCCAACCACGACGAAGAAGGATCACTTACAACGAGAAACTGATCGCTTTAAAAGGTAAGAAGTATGTAGGATTATTCATGAACCAATTGAGACCGAAATTTTATCGTTTGTGAAAATGTTTTGTCGCCATCTTTTGTTCAACACCTGAGTACTCTGGTGGTATATAATTCCATTTAAAGTTTTTGACTACACACAAATGACACAGGAGAATTCTAAGTCGCTGGACACTGTTTTAAACGCAATGTGCGATTCGTCGTTGCCAACTTTACAATCCAAAAACTTTAATTCATGGAATTCATGTTTAGCTATACAAATCACCATTTAAACATTTCAACCAGTAAATAAATGACTCTTAATCTGATAAATTTCTGATTTCGTTTACCTAGCATGTCACATGCATACGTGATAATCCCACTCATTTAAATATTTTATATACCACTCGTGAATATTATCTCTTCAGTTGACATCATCCACGTTTAAATTTGTTGGAGAAATCGTGACAGAATAAAATTTCTCCCCCTCCATTATCCAGTATTAATTATGCGATCTTGTCTGAACGAACTTGATTTCTTTGTGCTTACTTCTTCGTTTTGAAGTAAGCATTCTTGGTCACTGATTACCGTCTGCGTCATTCGTTTCGTCATTCAGCTATCGTAGCTATCGTTGACTTCAAATGGAGTGGTGGTGGCTTTAATTATATTTTCGTTTCTAGTTTTTGGTGCCCAAGTACCGTTATGCTGCTGTGAATGGAGTTGATCCTTTCACCAGCTAATTCACCGACGTCGTCAACATAAGGAAAGCGGTAATAATTATTATCAATGTAACTAGTGTTGATTATGCAGACAAAGAGACAGAAAATGGGATATAGAAACCCTAAAAGCAGACAGGTTGTGAATTTGAAGATGATATTTACATATATGAATATTATAAGTAGTAATAAGCGTAATTGTAACATTTGGAATATTCAGGCGATTAAGACAATGGAAGTCGTCAGTTATGAAAACTCGTCGTTAACCATGTATGATATTTTTGAAAATAAGGACGTTTTGATGGAGTTCCTGTGTCACTGGATGCATATTCAAGCATTTTCATAGCTCTACTCAACTTTTCCTAAACGGAAGCTCAGTGGAAAATACTATGAACAACGTTACCATATTTATGAAGTAATAATCAAGTCACTTTGTAAGAAAGGTAGGAAAAATTAATGAATCATCCCATAAGCTTCAACAGTAGTTGCGGTTATGCTTTGTGCTACAAAAGCAACTCACCATTCTCTTAGTCCGTTATCTGTTTTTGAATAAAATACCCAAAAACTTCTATAAGCTTCTTTCCAGTGACGTTTTTACACTGTTTCACAACTTTTCAAAAGAACTGAAAGATATCAGACATATTTTAATCTGCAGTCATAAAACGAGTGTTCACATGGTCACAGCATGATTGCCATTGGTTTCTAGACGTATTTTGTTATTTTTTAGAGAGTGAAGATGCAGCCCTAAAGAATACTCAGAAATTGAGCTGTAGTTTTTTGAAAAAGTTATTTCGTGCCTTGTTTAAATAATTATTATTACAAAAGTCTCGGTCTAAAACCAATTAGAATGACGGAATATGTACATTTCATAAATACAAAGCTAAGCACGATCGATTCAGATTAGGCTTTTTACTATAATAATATTGACGATCACGCGGAGTAATCAGCGTTTAGTGAAAAAATTTCATTTATTGGGACGGTAATAGGTGAGCTCCTGACTAATGTTATATATGCACAATCTTGATTTTGTCTTTGTTATGACCATCAAGACATCTTACCACTGTATTAGTACAGTTGATACAACTAAGCCGTTAAATATCAATCTGATCTCACTCGGCATTATAGATAGGTATCATACTAGTGGCCTTTATTGTCACATTTGAGGAGCGAAGGAATTTCATTTCGTAAATCATAAGTTCAGGCTTTGATTAGTGTACTGAAGTTAGTAAACGCACGAGGACAGGTTTTTAAGAAAGTTATCTCCATCTCTACAACTAAGAAGCATGAGTGTTTTTGTGTGGGGGAAAAATGATGATCAACCGAAAAGAAAATCAGTTTCAGTTTTATTTGTAAACTTGTCATCTTTTTCTACAGTTAACTTAGTAAAGAGTGACAAAATACTCATCATTCAACTTATATTCCTAATCAAACTTTTGAAGTGAACCATAAGGCTGTTTCATTAGCCTGGTCCAGGTTTCACGAGAATGCCACTGAAATAAAATGAATGAACTCTAGATAAGGCAACACTATTGGAAATTCATATGTTTTACAACTGCGGCGAAAATATATTGCTGTCTTTGAGCTTGAAACACACTTTGGGCAGACAATTTTCCGTGAATAGTTTCAAAAGTAGTAGGGCTTAATATGACTACTGAAAAGCTCGTAAAATAATAAAACCCCAGTCTTTCTAAAGATTAGGGCGTTCGAAATCGGTGTTAACACACACAGGTAAAATTAACTAATGGATGTATCTACTCAGCCGAAGATATTGAAGTTTTTGCGAAAACCTAAATTTTTTTATATTATTGATGGTGGGTTTTGGAGGTGATTAATTCCAAACTTTTCCAATTTCCTAAACCGTGTAAGAATTTAGTAATTTTATAAAGCCCTTGATGATCAAACAAGCAGACGCGTCACTTTTAATTCAGTTGCCACCCACAAAATTTAATCTTTGAGTCACAAGTTCAGAGCGGATATCTTGATATGCTTTATGATGCAGTGGATGTCTTTCAGAAATTTCGCAAAAGAGATCTATTACATCTTTATGTGAAACAAATGTCTAAACAGTATCAGTGTAAGTTTGTTTGAACAGGCTGACTTTTTATCTCATGATAAATAGCAGCCATGGATCTCCAATATTCTGCTATGGTTGATTAGATGAATCTTCGGAAACAAAAGAGCGCACCTCTGAAGCCACGCAAATCTCCCATCAAACGAGTTGTGAAACAAAAAAGTTGTACAAGTGCAAAGAGTGTGGAAAAACAGGTACAAGTAAACCGCCTTCATATGTAAATTCCGCAAAACTGTACCTTCAAGCTTCAGTAGTTCTCAGAAGACTACCCTGAATTCAGTTGACGTAAAGCATAAAAGAGGACCCATGCTACTCATATATGCATGTCAACAGGGAGCTGTCTTTAATTTATGCAATTATAATTGCTTTTTGGGTATTAATCATTTCAATCAAAGTGATAGTTTTCAAAACGCATTATGTCATCACTTGTCGAGCGAAAACATACGACAAGCTAATATGATATTGAGTGAAACGTTGTATAAATACATGTCGCTCTGAGTAAGAAACACATTTCGAAGCAGCTTTTTGCAGCCTTTCACCATGAAATCATGGTGAATTCCGGTTAAGGCAATACAGAGCTCAAGTAATTTTGATTTCACCTCTAATACGTAGCTGATTATAAAGCCTGAGTCCACTTTCTCTAGAACTTTATTATAGATATCTTCTGTTACTGCCTATGTTTTTATTGCAACAGCAGTATTTTTTACATTTAACTATATAAACATGTGATGTCTTTCACTGTTTATGCAATGCATACATACAGATATTTCCGACACCCATTTCCAAATAACTGCTAGATTAGTGAAATCAATTACTCAGGACCTTGAAACAGTCTAATCAAAGTATCCACAAGTTAACACAAAAGATATCTTACCATCCCCTGAGTTGAATATATGCAATATTATGTACATATGTGTGCATACGAACTTTGGTTAAATACCTTATAAATATCTGATCAATTTTTCGACGAACGCGCTGAGCACAAAGCAGTATGACAAACAAGTCATATAACTGAAAAATCCATTGATAAACCAGTGTAAAGAAAATGCAAATAACACATAGGTGTCTTAAATATAGTGATTTAAACGTGATCCAATGTGAAATCACGACATACTGAGGGCTGATCATGTACCATATTGATTCTCAATGTACGCTGCTACCTTCTGCAGAGTATTATGATGGAACTTCGGGCATTTCACGGTAAGTAACTTTTGCTTCAATAAATTAAATGAATTAGGAAGATGCGAGTTCTTTGTAACCGTTTTCATTTCTGAAAGAACAGTATATTAACACAAAACGGCTTAAATGTGAAAAGTGTCCTCTGCAGTCCGGCTGACGCTCATTCCTAGAGAAATACTGAGTTAAGAAAAATCACTTGATAGCTTGTTTATATTGTCAATAATAAAAGTGTATATGGATGTTTATAGTCAAATGAAAGTAAACTTACCTGCCGCTAGGTTTTTGACACACGTATTTATTCAAATATCATCATTTTATTAAGTGCGAAGTTTTCAAGTGAAAGCGACTGATGTTTTTAAAAACAAAGGAGTCAAGATTATATTGACTATCTATTGAAACAGATAAGTACATTTCAAAAAAATGTGATAGTTTGCGCATTTGAGCGAATTCAACAAGAAATTATGTCACAATTGAAACTAATTAAGTCCACACTTATCGGTGTTTTATTCGAAGCACTTCAGGTTACTCAAACAACTACGAACTCAGCCTGTAGAAAACTGAAGAATTTTTTTATCTTTGAAGATCTTCAATATTGTATCAGCTACCTGAAAATCAAGGCATTTACAAAACGGCTACTCGACATTTGTAGCTTGGTGAAGGTCTACGAGAAGCAGCTAAAGCAAAAGTCGACATTTTAAGTTAATGGCTCTAGACACAGAGGTGATGAATTCAGTATTTATTTATTAGATAATCGCAATTGAAACAGTGTTATTTGCCTGTCTTATTGATAGGAGAACAGTTTAGTCACAGTATCACATCAAATTTCACACAAACATGTGATAGAATGAGATAAGATTGCAGTTTGAAAATCTGATGTAAGAGATTGGATTGGGATATTTAAAACGTGAGCCTAATTTTTCGAATCAACTGTAAACATCTATCACACAAGAATGGAAATTTTGCTGCTCATAAGACAAATATGAAGGAATAAGGAAAACTATGTTTAGAAAATTTCCAAGTTTTGTGGCCTAGCGGCCTGCTGCAATCTTTGCGTTGCCTATATTTTCTATCCATCGAAGTGCGTCGTTTTTACTCCATTTCTTATTTTCTTAATATGCTATTTACCTCGAAGATTCGTCATATATGCTTGCTCATATTTTCAAACAACTCTGCGCCAACAACTGGTAATTTTCTGATGGAAGTTGCTGAATTACATCTTTGAGTAGCACTGAAGTGTACCTCAAATGAAACAATATTGCTCCAGGTCGTTTACTGACGAGTATTTTCGTTTTTGAAGACTTTGCACAAGAGGCAATCACCTCGACATGGAAGTAGCTGAAAATCCTGTTTTTAGTGAAACGTATTTTCATCTAAAGAACTAATTTATATCGAATTACATATAAACGCATTGCTAAAGTTTTACGCATGAATTATTAGAAGAATTCATTCCTGGAATCTGAACTTTGTCTACCTCGTGAACATAAAGGTAACCCACTTGGACACCTTATTTTATGTTCGAACAACTTCGATAAATCAAAACAAATTAACCTCCTCTAGCCTAGCACAACTTAAGTGTGCACGATTATGTGTATTAATTATCTAAACGCTTGTTTCACAGTCGGTGGCAACCTGACAACAACAAATGAAGAACTCAAATGTTGAGCAACGCTTCTTTGTTAAATAAAAATACATGAATAGGTAATGGGCTGCAATTCGTAAATGCAGTGATTAAGCGCACAGAAATAGAAAGGTATTTTAAAGGATGAAATATTCGCGCAACCAGCAGTTACATATTTCAGAAGATACCTGATGCTTACAAAGTTGATTTTCAGATTAAAATATCGGATATACAAATCACTGTTGAGCCATCTTCTCACACCAAGAAGGCATTAATATGTAGTTCGTCAAAGCACCCAAAACAAATAAATGCATCTCTCAAAAATGTTACAGAATAAACATCTGGTATTTTACTCACCGCGACAGGTACGTGCTGTTAGAATTAATAGACAAATCGAGATGTTTGAAGTATGCATAACTGAGAATTTTTGACATATTGGAACACGAGCCGCTTCAACATCTTTTAGAGCCATAGTCAACAATTCTTCAGAAAACTTTTTCTTTTTTTTCTTTTAACTATCGTATTAAGTAAAGTCATACAGACATAATTAATCTACGTATTTCAAACCATGTAGTGACTAACTGAAAATTTTCCAAAACTATTTCAGTTATTCTTCCTTCTACAAACTAAGCACCATCTCAGATGTGGACTCCATTCATTTGCATAGACGTTATATAAGCAATTATTCACCGTGTAAATGTTCAAAAACTAGCGTTAGAAATGATTAATCTAGAATGTGTTATATATAGACGTTAATTACGTATATATATTTATATATTTAGTATAACATTTAAGGTGTTTCCTTTCGTACTATAATAAGCTAAGCTGGTGACTTCAACATTCAACTTCTTAATCAACACCATATGATAACTACTTATGGATGTTACCTGTCGATCATATTTTTTTAATATGCAAGGAACCCAAATGATCTGTGATTTCCGTTGACTTTCATTTTTAAGAAAATAATTTTCATTAACTCTGACATTTTGTTTCCGAAATGCAAGAGTATTATAAAATATCACGAAGTTTCTTCAAGTCTTCGAAATTTACAAATATTTAAAAACAGCTGTTAGTTTATCAGGAAGCAATCGTTTACTTACAGCATGCTTCAAAAAGTTAAATACTGGCCTTATTAACTCATGAAACTTAGAAAATCTCTGTTTTATATAAAGCGTACTTTGATATATGAACTCCTACCAGGATTTTTAAGGACCCGGCAATAACTGGAAAATCGTTAATGGCACCTCGTGTACATCAAGTTAGCCAAACTGTGGATTATTGTTCTTCTTGAACATATTAATTAACATTGAGAGTATGCATTTTAAGTACACCGTACTACTCGTTCGTGCAAACTGTGATACATTCGTATCTGAAACTGAAATAGAGTGTGCAATCACATTAAGTACTTTCCGAGAGGTGCGCTTGTAGTACTCTTGAGAAAGAGACGCAAAATATCTACACTTGAAGCACTCTTGTAGTGAATGGTTAATCTCCATATATTCATATAACAATAATAATATATTGTCGTTTCTTGTTCATGAGGGACACCAGTTTACAGACATCATCAATCCGATAGAAATTCTTAAAATCAGTTCTTAGCCAAAGTCAGTAGCCCACCAGTTATTTATTTCACGATGAGTATAGTTATAACATTACATTACAATATGCATACAACTAACAATAGCGACTTACATAGATCTAGATGAGAGGTGGTTAGCTTTTGCGTTTCAAACTCGTCTGCCCATAAATAGACATATATCTTTCCTCTTGTTTTCAAAGTAAAATGATTTTGAGGAGAACTGAAAACTCGATTTTTTATTTCCGTTCGTTCTCAGTGGAACTCAAAGCTTCAGGCTTCAGCTTTGAAATTTCCGTAGCAGTTGTTTTTGTTTAGGCGTGATGTTCAACCTCCGATCTTTAGCAGCATTATTATAATCTTGGCGAGGTGAAGGAATGCGTCGATTGGAGAATGAACTCTGAACAACATGTGGGTTGCTTGGCGGGCATTCTGCAAGTGTGCCATATAAGATAATTTGTTGGAAATGACTAAGACATCGTACTGAACAAATACGGCTATGCACTTGAACATTTCAAAATTATTCATCCATGTATATAGATTGATTGAGTAACTTTATCTGATTATAATTTTTTAATCCTGGTCTCGCGGCGAATCTTGTATTGTTTCATACTTTGAATGTATACCTTAATGGGTTTCATAATAGAGATAGTGCCACTAAACTTGATTCAAAAAAGGTTTTTAGTATTTTCCTGAAAATTTCTTATATCATTTATATGCCTATTGTCAACATAATCGGTGAACCTCACAAAATAAAGTAAGCGTAAAAGTATGCATCAAGTGCCAGTAAGTAACTCACAAAGTCGAACTAATATATGAAAATAATGTGTTAAATGCCCAAGAAATGAAATGGTGAATGATGGTCCATTGTTAGGCAATGAAAGTATCTTTTTAATGCAGTTTCCGAAATTAGTCGAACGTGTGATCTGTGGCAGTATGTAATTTCATGTTTATTTGACATAATATAAAGACAAATGCTATCGTTCACAAAAAACACTGATTCAAAGTCAAATCGACTGAGTAACGAAAGTTTCTTTTCAGCGTGCTTCTGAGCGTTGGTAAAGTGTACAACTTCTTGGTGTCTCCAAATCAACCCAAATGTAGTTCATAGAAAGTTTTTGAAAGACGCGGAATACAAGAATTTCTTGTGACGTTTCATTAAGTTTTGTTATCTTTATTGTTTAATTTTCATATTTCCCAACGTGACGCCATAATCTTCAAAAACTAAATGGTGTATTAGGCTAGGGATGATCACGTCGCAGTCTGCTTTATTCCAATAATTTCTAAGGTTTATTTGACGTGAACACACCACAAATACACCGAAGGATGCCAGCAGAGTAACCAGTAAATACAAAGTTATTCAGCATATATAAGTTCCTTCCAGATTTCAGCTTGATAAGAGTCATGATGGGTGAGGTATGGATAGATAAGAATTGAAAGTTAATTAAAATTAAGCTTCGCGGTAAAGTTACATAAATTTTGAAACAATAAATATTGAATTTGTAGATATTGCACGCTTAAATATTCAACGACTGTTCCCTTAAATTTAAAAATTGATCGCTATCTATACAACGGTCTTTGTTCTTTATCAAGCTTATCTGGAATAAGATTTCCATTACTTGTAGATTTTCAGTTCATTTTACACATGATGTTATTTGTAGTTAGTATGCTACTCATTTGCTAGTTTATTCTTTGCTGACTTCACTTGTTTGGAACAAAAAAGAGATGTTAAATGTGACAGATAGTTATCAAAGTGTGATCAACTTTGCAGTGAAATGATTCGTTTCACTTAACGTGCTATTTTTCAACCTGTGTCTGATGATGCACATAACGCTGCTTCAGGTTTCTCAAACAGACAAATAATTACTGTTTTATGTTAAGTGCTAAAAATGTGATTTTCATACATTTGTATGCACGAGATGCCTTATGCTCACAGCACGCATGAGTTTGCAAATCACCTGATTTGCAAAACAGTTATTAAGACAGTCAACCTGCTCACATAATATAAAGCTAACTTACAAAATTCATCTATATGATTATGATATAAAAGTTGTCAGAAGGCGTAATTTAACGTGAATTATTTTCGGCTCCATGATTCAGCTACCTCTTTAAATATATATGTATATGTATAAATACATATAATTATTCTTCAACATAATCCTCTATTGAAGATGGGCAGTTCGTAGTGAGATACTGAACGGTTTTAAGGCATAAAATTCTCTCAGGTTTACAAATAATTCTTCGGCGCAAATTTCAAAGCAAATATAGCTGTTTTATTTAGTGACCAAATATATCATAATGTCAATGTAGTTGAAGATTGATTGTTGTTGTTTTCTCAAACCCAACTCCACATTTTTCGCGGGAGTCATCAATACGACAGTCATCGTCTCACCGTTCTCCGTTCATTGGAAGAAAGAAAACCATCTTTTATTTTTCGATTCTTTTATTACCGCTTGATTCCACACTGTATTTTTGGTACAAGTATGGAATTTTCAGCATGGATATCGGTGGCCCAAATTTTGCAGGCCGACCATAGATATCAGGTGTGCATCGTCAGGGGATCGGACCTCGGACCATGTGCATGGTTGGCGAGAGTCCTAACCACTTTGACACCAACGCACAGAAGTATTATTGTGATTTATTATTATAACAATTATCTTAGACCTTGTGTATAATAACCTTAATGTTGGCTACATATTGGCGTAGGAATAAAGGATTCTCGAGTGTCCAATCAGTGTTCACGTTTTTCGCGACTGTTTTTGAAAGTCTTCCAGGGAAAAAGTTAGGTCCAGAGTAATAAGACCTGGACACCGACACATGTATTCTACAAACAGTTTCAAAATAGTAGTGAATCGATTGTGAAGATGGAAAATATGAGAATCACTTTTTAGGAAAATGAGCTTAACTCATGATTTAGAACGTGGAGCACTGGACAGTAGGTGTTGTGTCACAGTGAGGAAAATGTGCATTACTCTTTACTTTATTATGGATAAATGGTTTCCTAGCATATGACTGTTTGCATTATTATTGCAAATTGCAATTGCAATCACTCACTTCCCAATGCTTCAGGAATGTAAACAAAATGTATATGTCATACTCAAGAAAGCAGCACAAAGTTTCATTGTTCTGTACATGTAATTGTTCAACTTTATGAACTTTTTCATTACATGAATAAAAACGAAAATACTTCAGTACTCGTTCCTCGATTTCCATTTGTTTGCACACTTTCAGGGATGACAGATCATGGTTAATGAAGTCATAGCAATCATTACTCTAAAACGGGTCGATTCACCTGAACATTCATCTTCAATACACGTTGTTGTAATTTTCACCATATTACATGCTTATAACATATTTGTTAAGCCTTTGGAATTCCCTCACTTTATGAAGAACGGTAAAAAGACGAAGTAAACAGCTTACTCATATAGTCTATTGGGTAAATTTTGGTTCAACGGTGTAAGAACAATTAATTTGCCATTTTAGGTTAATATGTTTTTAAAACATTGAATATCCTGTTGATCTTCTAAATTCGTCTGAGTGTCACATTGCTGCTACTACTTTTGAAGTGTGTTTCTTGTACGTTTCTGCTTACCGAAGTTATTGTAGATCTCAATGCATTTTATAATAGGATGTTTAAAAAATTACTTTCAGCTATTTCTGAATACCGCTGAAATGTAATCTTTGATGCCACTTAAATTCCTGTAATTTGGGAGAAGCGAAGCTATAAAAATATTAGTGAAATCTTCTGGTCACTTATCATTCAACAAGTACTATGTAAACGTAAATAAATATCAGACAACAGTCTCGTTTTAATCCATGGTGGGTAAGCGAACAAATGCGTTAATTTTCTCTGATTTGCATAACCTTACTCTATGCATTTAAAAGAGTTAAGTTTCACTTTGATGTTTCCAGTAAAGACTAACTTTTAAAAGTGTGTATAGGAAACAAACATGTAGACGCACTATAAAAAAACGATTCAATTAAATGCTTAGAACATAATTCTTTATCTTCCTGTGTTAGGCACGTATTTGTCAAAGTCAAAAAAATTAAAAAAGACTGGAAGAAGTGAGATATGATTGCTATGATATATCAGCAAAGATAATTTTTTACTCACAGCGGTCTTGATCTAAAAAAACAAATAAATAACGGAATGATGAATGACAGAAAAGGAGAACATTTCAGATCAATGTAGTTGTAAGTCAGGCCAACAAAACATAATTGTATTTTTCGTGCATTATGCGGGGTTCTTTAGGCAACTTATGTAGGGATTTGTAAGCTTTCCATCTTGACTTTCGTTCTCGCATATATAAATATTTGTAAAGCCTGAATATATGCGAATCCCAGACCACTGATCTTATATAAACATTGAGCGTATAACAGATGATTTCCTCCTAATTTTCATTTACTCCAATTCATCATATACATTTAACATTCTCCTTCTGATTTTCATGAAGACTTAATCTTTTGCCTGTGTCTTAGAGATTTTTCTGCACAAAGAACACATGTGAGATGGTAATGGCATTTCTGTTTCCACGTTTATTTCTTCCATCCATCATCGATCATGGTACATAGTTCGTTTCTCATAAAACTTCCTGCTCGGGCTTTATTCTGTGCACAAAGCGAAAATTGGTGATATTGCATAGACAAAGTAACCATACATACTCATTACACAAAATATGTTGTCATTAAAGTTATAAGAAAGTATTGGGTGATTTTTTCTGTAAGGCAATAAATTTTCGAAATCCCTGAAAATTAAGAAATGTTATCTGAGGCAACAAAACGCCATTTTAAAGAAAGTCATGTTTTCGTACTTGGAAATTCATCTACAACAAAGAAATGAGTGATAGAATAGTGCTTAGGATAAAACGAAGTTCTTTGTAAAGAGTGAATGGTGCAGTTCAAACTAAATCATACAAGAGTGTAGAGTAAGCAGCGTTCCACTTTGCAGTTTAACGCGTGTTGAGCGTAAACTGAGGATTTTTTCAAGAGCCTAATACTGAGAATAACTTCATTCCAAAAAGGTAGGTTTGACGCAATGTGAAGTTTTTAGGCGTGTGATATACTACTGGATTTCATTTTCTGTTTATATATGGAGGGAGAATTAGTTAGGGAGAAAATTGATTTGATACTAACTTCAGTTGCACCGTGACTGCAAAACTGAATCTAAATATCTGGCAATGTAGTTGAAGATAGAACGATCAATTCATGGTTGTTAGCTCAAACCCAACTCCTCCATATATTTCGCAGGAGTCATCAATACGACAGTCATCATATCATCGTTCGCTGTTCGATGGGAGACAGAAAACTATCAGATGTATCGTCGTAATTTATTCTTCTAACATTTATTCTCAGACCTTGTGTGTAATCACCCTATTGTTGGTTACATATTGGCGTAAGAATAAAGGACTCTCCAGTCGCCAATCTATGTTCTGGTTTTCGCGTTGGTTATTAAAAATTTTTTTTTAAAAGTCTTCGAGGGACAGCGTGTAGTCTAGCGTTGTAAGAGCTGGACATTGACAGTTTATGAGAGCTGGCTGACACTATCAAGGATACAGACTTTTTTCAGTTTGAAAAACTTAAGGCTTTCTGCATCGTAGTAGAAGTTTAGTTTCTGATGCTTTTCTCAGCACCACTGATATGTTACGTTCAATTGAAATAGTAGACAAACTTATATGCTTTCTTACTTGGGTTTTTATCTACAAGAATGAAATGAATTAAGAAATAACAGCCTCAATACGGATGAAATTTTTAGATAATTGATTCGATGAAAGTAAAGCCAACATAATTTAATAAATTCATTAAACACGAGTACCTTATTTATACTCTGCAGTGCGATACACGGCTTATAAATAATTATCTCCGATCTCCCATTTTGGCAGAAATGCAGCATTTTCAGAGAATTGGAATTTAAACTACGTTTAGGTGTACGGAGACTGAGGCCGGAAAATACAACGTGAAATATATCGTCAAATCGTGTTCCATTTGCGCAAAACACAGAAAGTCCGAACATTATTCAGGATAATGGAAAAACGTTATTCATGAATTCAGGATATCAGTGAGTTTGTTACACGTATTTGAGTTTCTTCCAAATAGTTCACTTTAGGAATTAATAATATCCATTTTGAATATCAACAGTATTCTTAATGAAAATATAAAATCCCGATGTATTCCAAGGACAGGATGAAACGGAAATCATTACTGTTTTGTTATTATTAAAATTATTGAACAGACTGTCTGAATGCAAATTCGTATCGAATTTACGGTTTGTTTCGTTTGCGCCGCTCTATGTCCTGTGATATCTATCTGGCAAAATATCATGAAATATATCTGTCAATTTAGTTACAAACCATATTTTCAGAATTAAGGTGAAGTCATAAAAACAACAAATAGTATTTCTTTCGAAGACATTATATCACTGAATGCCTTTCAGTTAATGTGTACTGTATGATAAATGAACACCAATTAAAAAGTGAACTTGCTAAAGATTTCCGGACTACGTTCTAGGTGAGAAAACAGAGTCGAGATTATTTATTTCTGAAAAGAGTGTTTACCTAGCCATAATTTCTTCATTTTAGGAGTTGATTTCATTCAAAACATCGGCATACTGCCAGGCAACTTCGAAGAACAGGCATAATCAACCAATAATCATATCTCACATAAGTCTAATTGAAGGTTACTGAAGGTGATGGAAGCACTTTGGATTAATCACATACAGCATAGACAGTGTGTACAAAAACCAATGAACTTCAGTCTTTGCCTACCCTGGACAACATGACCTATCTAAATATGACTGGTCATTAGTATGTACTTTAGATTTTATTTAACTAATTTTCATGAACTTTATTTTGTCATTGTTAACCATGTTAGGTAAAGCAGTTGTAAAGAAACTACGAAATGACGATATCATCTCGCGAAATTAGTCTTCTAAATGCCTTATTCAAATTTATCAAAAAGACTAATTGTTTTAACAATAATTACTTCTAAACGTATTCAAATTCCTAGAAAAATCAATGAACTTAAAATAATTCTACGTCTCACAGATGGCTACTGAACAGATGTTTAGTAGATCCACTGGAAGCTCATTAAGTGGGTGATGATAAAAGGCATTCGGTGAGAGGTAGCAGAACACCAACAATCCGCAGAGTGAAAATTTACAGGCCGCTAGATTACTTGCCATAGGATTGGAAGGTAAAGAAAATTTGTCTTTTTACCTGAACGTTCAAGGTTCAGTCTTTGTTGAATTCCCAGCTTATTAGTGCGTAACACTGTCAAAAACGACTGAGTAATAAATTTATTCATAACTTGAGCGATCTGCTAGTATTTAATTCCAAAAATTAATTTAATTATCTAATAGTTTAAAATTGCCACTGATATGGTTATATACAGTAAGTTGTTTTCAAGTGGTCACTTTGGAAGTAATTAATTTACCCAATAATTCCTCAGTTTAAGGTCAACACTGTAATGCTTCATTATGGGGTTCAGAGCACTACTTTCCAAATACACCTGCCGCATTCATGCATCTGACTCAATTTCGTACTACATTGCTGAAAATATGAAGACAGACTCCACAAAGAATCACATCCTGAAATTTACTGATTCCTGTTCATACTGTGACAATGATATTCATGCCAACTTAGACAGAGTATGTTTCTATAATACAAATTCGGAAGGCAAATCAATGCATCTATATGCGGGCACATTTCCTGCACTGTAAAAAGGAAAGTTAATGTTTGTCCCTTAGGTCTGTTTCTAAAGAAAAACATTAGAATCTGGGAGGTTGACATTTTATGTGGAAATATAAATAAATGAAATGCCAATATTTACTTCTTTGGGCTAGTATGAAATAACATTTAAAAAAGCATAAGTTAAATTATTAAACACATGACTCTTCGGTTTCGAGTAAAGAATAGATCTTCAAACGCACATTTCAACTGAAACATTTCCTCTGTTGACCTTGGACCTGGCTCATTTATCATTTATGAACCCTAATCTCCTCTTCACACGATTTCAACTATGTCATACTTAGTAACCCAAATCAAAATTTCCCAATTAGATTTCAGTTGAGTGAATACTTGCAGCGGAATGTCATTCAAAGTTGTCTTCAGTGTGTGCCAAGTCCATCGCTATTTACCTGAATATAGATGCTGAGCATCAGGTTCCATTTCAGCTTGAACCCATATATTTTGTTGCTGATTCCTTCTGGTCATTCGATCCTCCAACGTCGACTGAAGGAAGTTGTTAAAGAAGGCCTGAGATTATGTTACAATTTTTCTTGTCTCGATCACCGTACATTTTCAACACAAGTGGAAATTACTGAACATCAGTTTTCAAAATCACCGCGTTTTTATTTATGCTATGTGAAGACTATTTTTAAACCGATATCAAAGCCATGCAAACGTACTGTGTCTTCCCGATTCTAGTTATGAAGTATTATCCTCACAGCTTGCTTGCAGTTAAAACTTTGAAGCTCATATAAGTGTAGGAAGTGATCTATTTCAGATCAACTGTGTTGCAAGTGATTGGTGCAAGTTATCTTCATCAGCTTCGTCTTCTCTGCGTCAACTTGAAATCCTTATTTTACTGCTTTCCCTGCCTATTCGCAGATTTTAAACTCTAAATCGTTGAGTTTATGTGGCACTAGGTATATTATTTATGGCAATAATTCAATAATTCCCTAATTGACGAATACATTCATCCGATACAAAAACGCGTAATACGCTAACGGGCTCATTCGTCTTAATAAAAGCCAAAATTAGCTATCTTCTTTTGAACAGAATTGGTATGTCGTTCATGTTGAGAACTTACTATTTAAAACATGAGAGCCATATGACAGAAGCCATCTAACGACGATATGCGTGAATATTACAAAATCAAATCTGAGTTATGCTTTGTAGAGGTGTGAAAAATATAATAACGTGAGTCTGTCCTAGTGAAGATTGGAAGATTCAAGAAGGCAGAGATATTCTCTTTCACTTATATCCAATCAAAAATCCTTGCAAATATATCTTCATATGGATTTCGAAGGGAAACTTGAGCGTAAATATCTTCATTTCGTTGCTGATAGATGCACAGTCGTAATCCATTGTTTGTAACTAGTTACGGTATTCTTTCCGCTATAAATAGCTGAACGTAGAAGAATTGGTGTGCAATTACGAGAACAGCATATGAGGAACAAATATCAATACAATTGTGCATTAAAAAACGACTAGTTTATTTGAAAAAAGTGTATTTTTGTACTTTTCAATTTTCATACATAAAGCGAAAATTGTGATGGTTAATGATTACCATTTATGCAACCACAATTATAGCGGTTTGCCGATACCTTAAGACTCGAGTCCCTTTTTCATTTTTTTGTCGTTTGTATGCCAATGTAGTTTTTAAATTAGGTTATACAATAAAAGTGCGGTTCGGCAGCAAAACTTTCAGATTTAAGTTTCTTGTTTAAAATGTTTCGGAATACACATATGCATAATTGCAGGCTGGCCAGTAAATAATCGAAAAATAACCAAACAGCCTACCCTCTTTTACAGAAGAAATCCGAAAGTCAGTGGACACACCATTTTGAATAATCTCATTCCGCAGTCTCCAAAATCTCTTGAAGTCTTTATTCGACTAGCAAATGTCATAAATATCCGACGAATGTGGTGTGTTTCACATATACTTAAGTGACATAAACTCAGATTCGAAACTGATCACAATAGAACGAATAACATTCTGCATCTGATTCTTTATCAGAAAGCTAAATCTTTTCTATCTTCAACGGAAGAGATGCCCATGGATGTTTTGACGAGCATATATCATGTTGAATTGAAATATCTAGACATACACAGCAGTAAGTATTTGGTTTCACCGCAATCGAGTGAATACTATTTAAATCAACATATGTCAAGTAATCGTCATAAAAGATTTCAATCGAAAGAAAGGTTTGGCAGGTCAAGTAGTGAATGGAGTTTGTTTTCTCTTATTTATGGGAACTTGTTTTAATTTTTTTAATATGAACGAAATCCTGAATTGATTGTTGCAGCACTTCCACACTGCAGATTTCATAGATGAAAACAATATTGTACACATGAGAAAAGTGTTCGTCATTCCACACAGTTTTGAATGTTGATCTTACCCTGGAGGTCTGTACGAAGAAAATTGGATAATGCTCAGTTTTATTAATTGACAAGGTAAAATATATCAAAAAGTTAAGACTCAAAATCCTTAATTATATCATACTGAAGGCTTAACAAAATTTCACTTGAAGTTGCACTCCCAGTATTTTTTGTTCATCATCATTACTTCCAGCATGATTTTGTAAAGTACGCATTATTCATATTTAAAAAATTTACCAGTTTCAAACTTCATACATTCACAGAAAGCATAAAATATACGTTCCTTGTTTAACATTTTCAATGATCACTGTCATTAAGAGGCAAAATGGTACCTGTCAAAAAATGATGAAGGGTCACTTTCATTGGTGACCATCATTATTAGGTATTCTCAGCTTCTGAAATTTAAAACTATAATGAGCAGAAAAAATCATTGTCCATATTATCTGTGGTTTGCAACTTTGATAAATTCACTTTATTTATGCACTTTTATCTTAAAAATGAACAGACACTGGGAAGATGTGTGTGTTGACCATTATTAGAATACTATTATTTGCATCCATGAATTCAGTTAACATTTCCTGACAAATGTAAAAAGCCGCGATGGCTTCTGAAAACAATGTTCTTCATGTGAATAACCCTGCCTCTCTTCGTTACGATCGTGAGGCTATGCGATGATGGTTAATCAATTCTTCAGGAAAGCTTCACTACCTGGAATACAATTCGAATGTTCATTCATAGTATTGACCAAAAATCTGGTGATTTTTAAGGAATCAAAAAATTGAGACTTCATGTTTCCAGAAAAATGCTCTTTGACTGTTATGCGTTTCATGGTTTCATTTGAGCGTGAAACAGAAAATAGTTAAGTCATTGCAAACTTGCTTTATTGCATTTTGTTGATAAGATTGCAGTACACACTTTCAGGTTTAATGTTTTTGATTTGGCAACATTCCTTACAATCATGTACATTTCCAACCATCTCGCGCAACAAAAACTCAAAAGCAAAATGTCTAACTTTGTGAGCGACTGCAGCTGACTCACAGCATGCAAGTGTGGAATAAAATTTGTAGAATTCAAGATATTTTACTCCAACAGAATCTTAGGGTTGACATAATTTATTGCTATATTATTTTCCAAATATTTCAGTAATTTAGTATTTGAGATAAAGGTAAATGCAAATAGAATAATAATAGAATAAAATAAGTGCACATGCTACGTCATGTGTGTGACATAGCGGTTAGGACGCTCGCCGACCATGCACACGGTCTAGGGTTCTATCCCTGGCCGACGCATTCCTCTACCTCTCTAATGCAGAAATATTCCTGGTAAAGAGGAAAGGTTGGGCATGAGGCTAGCAACCCAATCCTGTTAAATAAACCCTGCTACAGAAACTTCTAGCCACTAGCTTGAAGCCCTATGTACTACTGAGTAACGTGAAGGAAAAACATGCTATGTCATTTTTCATTTCGGTAGTGTACTGGATGTGTATTCTGCCAGCGTCTCTCATGCGGCCTCTTAAGTTTTAGGATACTTCAAAGTTTCACTTTTTAAGACGATAACCTGAAAATAACTTCTGGCTTTCATAAATTACGAAGTCACCTTGTACTTTTGACGTTGATTTTTACAGTGCTTTGACCTTTAGTTAAGTCAGTTCATTGTAAATCGAAATATAAAAAGATGCGGCCTGTTAAAATAACTTACTATCATTCATACCTTGATGGAATTTAAACAAAAGATGATTTACGAAATAAAATAAATATTGCGCGAATCCCATAGTTTTTGGTTAAAAATATGCAATGTTATAAAGTTAGTAATAGAAGGTCATTTTTCATTTCAGTCATCTCTCACTTTCGTGATGGTATCGCATGTTTGGCATCCAAAAGCTTCATACATTTACCATACATACTTCATACATTTACATGATGGATGCATCATTGAAAATTCGAAACTTGAATTCATCTCAGTGTTTGTGTTCAAATATCATTATGCTAAATAAATTTCCTGGAAAAGCATTTGAATTAGTTAACTATTTCTTTATCTACTAGCTTAGAGACCAGTTGAAGATAATACGAAACTCATTTTTTAAGTAAAGCTGAGAAAATTGAGGAATCTGAGTTACTCATCAGACTTACATTTAAACTCCGCCTCCAAAACTATGTAGGTACATAACAAATATTACTTGCATTCAATTAAGTACAATCAAAAAGCTGTTTTGTGACAAATGTTAGGGTTGAATTCTGAATTTATGAAAGTTAAATTGGCCAGATTATTGTTTAATGCGGATTTTAAATTCCATCACATTGAATTTTCCTTTGCTTATGTTGGCTGAATAGATAGAAGAGCACAGAGTTCCGTTGTAAGTGAATATTGTTGATTTGCCTTAAATATTTTATAATACTGTATTCATCCATTCACTGCTGTTTGCATTTCAAAAAATTCTTGTCCTTGAAACGCTATCGGCAGTTGATTCTTAAACTTAACTATGCAGCTGGTATTCTCAAGGCTATTTAAAGCATATGCGTAAACTCAATCGCTGTCAACTAAGTTTGCTAATTGTTGGAGAGACGGTAAAAGGGCTTCACGTTAACGGTCCTGTCTCCATGTTTCTTGAGCGTTAGCTTATTGTGTCGTTGTTCTTGCTGACAGTGGTAAAAACTGTTCGTTCGCGAATCACTTAGGTAGAAATACCTCAGAGAGAGCAGCTTTATCAAATATCCATTGACTAATCATGCAACAGTAGATATTATAGAGAGATTTGTAGCTCAGGTGGATGATTTTGATGTGGTTTTGTTCTCTGAGCTGGATGGTTAGTTTGCGAAGCTTTCATCACCTTACTGGGTGACATCTTCAGCGCATACTTCAATTTGAAGTATGCGCTGAAGATGTCACCCAGTAAGGTGATGAAAGCTTCGCAAACTAACCATCCAGCTCAGAGAACAAAACCACATCAAAATCATGCAACAGTAATTTTAGGCTTTATTTATAAAAGGTTTCAGCTTTTGTGATTATAGAACTAATCTGAGCCTAATACATGAACATCGATAACTCACATTCGTTAGCGCGTTCCCCTTTGTGATCAAATTTTTTTAAGAAAAACAACGTTAATGCAGTTAAATCCCATAAATATAATTTGCAGTTTCTGCAAAACATATTTGTTTCACATATTTGTTTTGTGAATCAATCAATAATTAACTGAGTTGTTAAAGCAGGTACAATGGACTAAACCATTATATAGGTAATTTTTCCCCCTAAGATAAATGAATATTTTATTATTAATTATTACTTTTGTGTTCATTTCAACAATTTCTACGAAGCGTTTATTAAAGAAAACATCTGCCACTCGAAAATAAGTCAGTGAATGCATTCTGCTATGCTCGGCTTTTCCAGCCAAATCCTGTATACTTCATACATGGTTAAATTGGCAGTGGTTCTATTGAACATATTCAACTGTATTGTGTTTCGCTTATCTCGGATAATTTAAGAGAATTAGCCAGCAACATTCCACTGTTTTTCTGTGTAATAGCAAATGATGTTTCTTACATCGTAACATGTGACATGAAGGTAAAAGCACCACTTCTTTTATGTTTCGTTCGTTACCCAACCAATTTATTGACGCTTTTCATGAGTGAACCACAGCCTATTTACTTCCTTCGTTGTTTGTGTAGTCAGGTTAGCATGTTACCTAGTCTTAGTGTTCTAAGTAATCAGCATCTCCTGCTTTGAAAATTTAAAGCCTGACAAAATTTCATTCTGATATTACAATACACCACTGATTTATTTCACGAGAAATTTTGCAAGGTTCGCATACACGCCTTTGTTATCGATTAAGTCGGAAGGATATACAAACATTAGAATAGATAATAGTGTTTTGAGTCAATATTACAGTTTTCTACGACTGTTACTGCACCCAGATGTATCTTAGCTTAAGAAAATACTCAAAATTACAAATAGTGCGTTTTGTTTCAATTCTGGAGTCAGGAAATAACACAAAAGGAGACAAAATCTGACTGGAAGCATTACTGCAATCGGTGTTCTTCCTGCTAAATCGGACAAAATCTGTACATTCCGTCTACTCGAGGTATTTTATATTTAAAGTCAGAATGCTGTATAGATTTTCAGTGACGAATATTAAATCGATATTACACAGCTGAAATAAACCACACTGTTTTAGAAACCTAAGCAAGACTTATTGACTGCATTTGATTATTGAACTTACGGGCTTGTTTGAAATGAAGGGGTTAAAATGTTGCAGCAATTAGAATCTTATGAAGTCATTTTTCTGCTTTCAGACGTTTGCGCTACGGCGTTTTTTGAATCATGATCAAATTACCCTTGGTATTGTGACCACCTATTCGTGTATTCATAGGCTGATTACAGTTATGTCGGAAGTCGAATTTAAATCAAATACGTGAAATTCCAGTGACCCATTTTGTAATTCATTAATGTGGTATAATTTAACTGAGCAATTGAAATTTGACTTGTTTATCACTCTAAATATTACCTGATAATAATTTGGACATTGTGCTGGCTCAACTTTTGAATTTCGACTTCAGTGATAATACACATTCGTAATCTTTCTCAATTTTCTTTTGATTAACGTTGTGAATGTGAAGCAATCACAACAGCGAGACTCAGAAATAAGCACGATGAAGTACTTGGATATAAGTTTACGCTAGTTTCTGCAAATAGAGCATTACAAATGGATAAAAATCCTTCTCGAAAATATTTTGACTTCAAATCAAATGCTGACACCATCTATGACAAACATTATTTGCATTTAAGTCTAAAACTACTTTTTCATAAAAACCATTTGAAAGTATGTGCTTTGTCAGTTAAAGTTAAAGTGGTCAGTATTTCATTTGTGTTCATTCCACAGAACACAGATTTCACTGCATTCCAAACTAAAAAATGTAACCAGACGTCGTCAACTTAAAAAAAACTTTTATTTTGAAATTATGCATAACGTACTGATAACAATTTCTGCGGAGTCATAAAAAAAAATAAATCAGAAAATAGAAATTATTGGAAAATTGGAGACGACATATAAAGTTGTCATGATTTTGACTTGCCAATATTTAAAGACTTTGAAAGCGTATGAAATGTAAAGTATGGCGATGTCAAAATATCATGCATGTAAATTTAGATTATGCAGGCACTCATTTCAAAAGCCGCTATAAAAAGGTGCAGTTGTTAGCAACTGCCTATTTTGCGAAAGGTTTAAATGCACAATTAGTCACTTTACAAGAAAATTTGTGAAATATTTCAACACATATGGAGTGCCAGCAAAGTGAAAACTTTTGGCATTAAAGGAACTATTTCGGAATCGCTCGTACGGAAATGGGGCAAAATTATATTTTATTTCTCTTTTCATGTATTAGGATACATTCGTCCCGAATACCTTTTGCAGACTGCAAACCAATAAGCAGATTGAAAATGGATGATAACTGCTGCAAAAATATAAAGGCTTTTAACTCTTGATTCTCTCCATTTTGAGAATAGATGTTCGGTTCGTTTTAAGATGCATTACTACGCAAGGGAAACGTGTTTTACGAAATGAAGAAATGAAATGCAACCGAAAGAATCAAGAATATTTGTGGATAATCCGAGTATGAAATGATTTCAAATTACACTCTCATTTATGCGGTATTATATCTTCCGTCAATAATCAATGTATAATAATTTATGTAATTTTAATTTTTCTCGGATAATACATACTGAATATATTTGTCTCTTATTCGCTGACCAAATATGAAACTTTCAAAGTGTTTGTGATATGTCTGAATATTGTCAACTTTCTGAAGCAGCCGTTGATTCAAGATAACGCTTAATCCCACATCTCTGAAAATACTGCAGTGTCTATGCTCTCAATTTCATCCATGATTAATCAAGAAGGAATCCAACATTCCAGGTAAAAGGTTACTGGAGTCAAAAATTCTGTACCTAAAGTTTCATTCTTTACTAACACTTCAGCGAGAGTGTATTGCTGAAATTCCACACCAATAAACTTGAATACAGTGAAATCATTTTTGCATAGCTCGACAAATGAATAGCTTAGCTTACTCGGTTTCGCTAAAGATTTTCATGTTAAAAGATAACGCACACGAATTTGATAACTTTACTCAAAAATGATATCATATATCTTAAAAAAGATTTCGAATATCCCCTTAATTACAACATAAAATCATTCGTGATAAAAGCATTCGCATGCAAGAAAATGATGTGTTTCAGCGATGCCACGTGTAGTGTCATAAAGAAAACAATGTCCAGGTAATGACACTTTCACAAATGTGTCTTCAGCAGGTAACCACTGATAATTCATCCTTTGCTGCAAACGTACTTTCTAATAAACAACGACAGTTGCAAGTATGACATGCGTGTTTGACACTGTAGACACTATCTGTGTGAAATGCAAAAGCGTTTGAATGTTAGAAGTTTCGCTCAAGTGATGAAAAAATGTTTTTGTTGACCTACAGCTTCTGGAGTGAATCGTACACGTATGTTTCATAATTCAGTGGTTGGTACTGACACGGAAGTACAACCACATATTGTGAATGCATCCACTGTAAAAGGCTCATAAAAATAATGCATCAGTTTGCTCACCGAAATATCCACAAAAGAAAAACTCGCAATCAGCAGTGAGGTCCAAACCTACTCAACTAATATGTAATAATAAAAATCAAACATAGTCGAAGGCCAATAAGTCACAGCTGGAAAGCTTCACCTGCGATTCAACATATTCCTTCAACTATTCACAGTAATTTAAAATAAATGCTTTCAAAACATATTCGAATCATTTAGGAAGGATTAGCTTCCACACGATTATGCGTGAAATATTTAAAAATCACAAATGCCTCATTAAGAAGATTCCACAATATGTCGATTTACATCCACAGAGGTTTGCTTTCAACTTGCATTAACTATTACAGTACATGATTGAGACAACGCACACAAAATACTTCACACATACGTGGTTCAGCTGAAAATGTAGAGTGACAACAGGATGAGACGTAGGTTTTGTCACACAGTGCTATGGAAACCGCAATCAACATACTCTGTGCAAATTGACAACGTAAGAAATTTGTGTCTAAAAATTAATGTAGTTATGAAGGTGATGGTAATTTTCAACTTTATATGAAAGTTTGAAGGTACGAATATAGATTACAAATGGCTTTGAGACAAGATTTCGTAGGATTAGAAAATAGTTACACCGTATGCAAAAACAAATAATTAATAACTGGAGAAATTATTTTAAGTCCAATAGAAGATGATAATTGTAATCTTGTTTCTAAGCCCCTTGTAATCTATATTCGTAGCTTCAAACTTTCACATCAAGTTGAAAATTATTATCAACTTTGTTATTATGTGGAATTAAAGGAATAATAATTGTATCTATGTATAATAATTATTAGTTTGATTGGCAAATGCTTGCAGGATGTACCCAGTAATATGATGGAGATTTTTGGTTAAGCTTACCGGCCTAAATGCAGCACGATTTTCTTTCCCTTTTTTCCTTAACCTCACTGTGTTCGTCAACCAATAATGCAACAGTCAGGCACATATTTTGCAAAGCTTCCCTTTCGAATTCCAGTTAACTTCTAATTAGTATGTACTAGCCATCCTGCCAGTTTCCTAGGCTAATGAAATTCATTTGCAGTAGATTACTCAAGCACAAAATATACTTGTAGAGAATAAATGAATGAATTTTTCACAAAAGTATTTAATATATATCGAACGCATTTCACACATAATTGCAAAAATGGTTAGATTGCATGCATACTGTCTGTGACCGTTTCACTGTTTGGCTTTGAAACACTACGTGATAACTAGATTATAAAACCTGAATTAAAAAATTAATTCCCAATTAGTCACTTTACAAGAAAATTTGTGAAATATTTGAACACATATGGAGTGCCAGCAAAGTGAAAACTTTTGGCATTAAAGGAACTATTTCGGAATCGCTCGTACGGAAATGGGGCAAAATTATATTTTATTTCTCTTTTCATGTATTAGGATACATTCGTCCCGAATACCTTTTGCAGACTGCAAACCAATAAGCAGATTGAAAATGGATGATAACTGCTGCAAAAATATAAAGGCTTTTAACTCTTGATTCTCTCCATTTTGAGAATAGATGTTCGGTTCGTTTTAAGATGCATTACTACGCAAGGGAAACGTGTTTTACGAAATGAAGAAATGAAATGCAACCCGAAAGAATCAAGAATATTTGTGGATAATCCGAGTATGAAATGATTTCAAATTACACTCTCATTTATGCGGTATTATATCTTCCGTCAATAATCAATGTATAATAATTTATGTAATTTTAATTTTTCTCGGATAATACATACTGAATATATTTGTCTCTTATTCGCTGACCAAATATGAAACTTTCAAAAGTGTTTGTGATATGTCTGAATATTGTCAACTTTCTGAAGCAGCCGTTGATTCAAGATAACGCTTAATCCCACATCTCTGAAAATACTGCAGTGTCTATGCTCTCAATTTCATCCATGATTAATCAAGAAGGAATCCAACATTCCAGGTAAAAGGTTACTGGAGTCAAAAATTCTGTACCTAAAGTTTCATTCTTTACTAACACTTCAGCGAGAGTGTATTGCTGAAATTCCACACCAATAAACTTGAATACAGTGAAATCATTTTTGCATAGCTCGACAAATGAATAGCTTAGCTTACTCGGTTTCGCTAAAGATTTTCATGTTAAAAGATAACGCACACGAATTTGATAACTTTACTCAAAAATGATATCATATATCTTAAAAAAGATTTCGAATATCCCCTTAATTACAACATAAAATCATTCGTGATAAAAGCATTCGCATGCAAGAAAATGATGTGTTTCAGCGATGCCACGTGTAGTGTCATAAAGAAAACAATGTCCAGGTAATGACACTTTCACAAATGTGTCTTCAGCAGGTAACCACTGATAATTCATCCTTTGCTGCAAACGTACTTTCTAATAAACAACGACAGTTGCAAGTATGACATGCGTGTTTGACACTGTAGACACTATCTGTGTGAAATGCAAAAGCGTTTGAATGTTAGAAGTTTCGCTCAAGTGATGAAAAAATGTTTTTGTTGACCTACAGCTTCTGGAGTGAATCGTACACGTATGTTTCATAATTCAGTGGTTGGTACTGACACGGAAGTACAACCACATATTGTGAATGCATCCACTGTAAAAGGCTCATAAAAATAATGCATCAGTTTGCTCACCGAAATATCCACAAAAGAAAAACTCGCAATCAGCAGTGAGGTCCAAACCTACTCAACTAATATGTAATAATAAAAATCAAACATAGTCGAAGGCCAATAAGTCACAGCTGGAAAGCTTCACCTGCGATTCAACATATTCCTTCAACTATTCACAGTAATTTAAAATAAATGCTTCAAAACATATTCGAATCATTTAGGAAGGATTAGCTTCCACACGATTATGCGTGAAATATTTAAAAATCACAAATGCCTCATTAAGAAGATTCCACAATATGTCGATTTACATCCACAGAGGTTTGCTTTCAACTTGCATTAACTATTACAGTACATGATTGAGACAACGCACACAAAATACTTCACACATACGTGGTTCAGCTGAAAATGTAGAGTGACAACAGGATGAGACGTAGGTTTTGTCACACAGTGCTATGGAAACCGCAATCAACATACTCTGTGCAAATTGACAACGTAAGAAATTTGTGTCTAAAAATTAATGTAGTTATGAAGGTGATGGTAATTTTCAACTTTATATGAAAGTTTGAAGGTACGAATATAGATTACAAATGGCTTTGAGACAAGATTTCGTAGGATTAGAAAATAGTTACACCGTATGCAAAAGCAAATAATTAATAACTGGAGAAATTATTTTAAGTCCAATAGAAGATGATAATTGTAATCTTGTTTCTAAGCCCCTTGTAATCTATATTCGTAGCTTCAAACTTTCACATCAAGTTGAAATTATTATCAACTTTGTTATTATGTGGAATTAAAGGAATAATAATTGTATCTATGTATAATAATTATTAGTTTGATTGGCAAATGCTTGCAGGATGTACCCAGTAATATGATGGAGATTTTTGGTTAAGCTTACCGGCCTAAATGCAGCACGATTTTCTTTCCCTTTTTTCCTTAACCTCACTGTGTTCGTCAACCAATAATGCAACAGTCAGGCACATATTTGCAAAGCTTCCCTTTCGAATTCCCAGTTAACTTCTAATTAGTATGTACTAGCCATCCTGCCAGTTTCCTAGGCTAATGAAATTCATTTGCAGTAGATTACTCAAGCACAAAATATACTTGTAGAGAATAAATGAATGAATTTTTCACAAAAGTATTTAATATATATCGAACGCATTTCACACATAATTGCAAAAATGGTTAGATTGCATGCATACTGTCTGTGACCGTTTCACTGTTTGGCTTTGAAACACTACGTGATAACTAGATTATAAAACCTGATTTTAAAATCTTACTGCTCTTTTCTGTGGATTTGTGCGTAAATGAAATTATGTATAACGATTTATTAACGGACACTCTGAAGATTTTTATTTTTTAATTTGGGATTTCATGTAAAATTTGAAATCACCACAATGCCTTTCGGCTGGAAATAATTGAGACATCAAGTAATGTAGTGCATTATTTACCTGACGTGTGCTACCTCAAAAAAAACAAGAAGACTTACGTTGCTTGTCTATAAGTTTGATTTTGAACAGAATAAATTCATAACGCTGAATACACTGTTCGCTTGAGACTGTTGTTTGTTTAGCAGTATACAGACTTAAATTATAAAAATAATTCCAAAATAACTCCGATCGGAGATTTTCAACGTAAGATTATTTAGCCTATGATTCACGTGTTTGCCATCAAAATAACATCATGACTGAAATTAGTTTTGAAATGACTTCAATAGAGAATAAATCAGTTCAACATTCAGAGTTTTATTCTAAATATGGTTTTAATGAATAGCTTTCGTTTTGCGTCTACCTTTTTGATTTACTGGCGATAAATTTGTCCGTGTCTGTCGATGTTTTGATGTGAAGGCCAATTAGATACGGCGGCAGACAGGATGTGATCGAGCTTCAAAATTTATCTAACCATAATCCTAATTTTAGGAAGTAAGTTTAAAACAAAATATCAAATGTAAGAAAAATCGCTGCTTTATAGTGTCGTCACTTAGCTGTCAATATATTCCAAAAGAAATATCTTAGTCCCTTTGAATTTAATACAAAATTGATACAGCTTTCAAAGGGCTCAATTAATTGCTGTAAATATTGTCATGTTCATATCCACTTTCAAATCTTAGAAATCAGACGCACAGATGAGAATTTCAGTCAGATTCCTGTTCATTGTATTGAAACGTTTCGATTTCTTATGGATTTCTGACTTGCAAGTATCAGACAAACCATTTCATGAAAATTAGTCATAAAAATAGCGTATGAAAAAAGGTGCAATATATATATATATATATATATATATATATATATGGAAATTCTGAATGACTATTGAAAAAGATCACAAATCATGCAAGTGATTTAAAGTAAAAACTATTAAAACTGGCCTACAAAAAGAAATTCAGATCCTAGGATATATGAATCACCTTCCAGGATAAAATGGACTGGTTGCATCCATCTGTGCCATAAATAAGCCTCAAAATTGACGGAGGCTGTTAGGCAATATTTCTGGCTCAAATCGTATGTATTCTTTTAAAATGTCACTTAAGTTTCATAATAATAAAAAATTTCAGATGGAATTTTTATTACTATATAAAAGAATAGCATTTTGACAATAATTATAAACCAGCCAACTTACTACCTGTTGATGTGATTTTGATGTTTAAAAGTAATATCTGTCATATGTATATGGTTTTAAACATAATAAAAAAATAAATTTCTCGCAAAACTATATTTGGCGCAAGGCATACTTCGAATCCATGACATTTTCAAAATCCTTCTGTGTTTAAATGACAGGTTTATGATAGGTTCGCTCACTGAGGCAATTGGTCATCAAGTGCACTTGATGACATTGAAGTATCACTAAAATTTTACAATATTTTGAACCCTTTACGGTTTGTGATCAGTTAGTTGAAACATGTGAATTCTCCCTGCACTATTAGGTTGGCTTCGATGCTCACCACTGAGAGGAAGTGTGACCGACTTAAATAAACTTATTGTAACAAAGATTTGTTACACTCATTTCCAAAATACAAGAATCTAAGTATAGCCGAGAAAACTGATCAAATTAAAAACTTTCCACTTACCGCAATCGTTTTGATGAATAACGCATGAAATACAGATAAGCAGAAGTAGTGTCTTGCAGAAATTCATTCTGACTGATGTTTCAATGAAGCGTGGGTCGCTTTAAATACTCTAAATTATCTTTGTTTACAATCAGAGCAATAAGTCTTGATGATGCTATTTGCTTTGATTTACAAGTTGTTATGACAGCTTCATTAATCTGCTGTGAGTAGATACTTTCGTACTTTTACGTAAGTCAAATGATCCAATATAATTATGAAGATGGATTAAGGATAAATAAAATTCTTTCATAATGAAACCTGAAAGCAACCACCACTCATCTGAAAACAAGCTCAGATTGGTTCACACTGTGAGAATTGTGGTGATTTTAATCTAACTAAATGAAAATTTATCAGTGATACAATCATTCAAGTCTAACGATCACTGGAATTCGCCTATATTCAAGTCTCATCAATTGATTGTTATTAAAGTCCCATTGAATGCTTTCTTTTCACTTGAGGAGGCTGTTGAAAGTTTAATCTAGCAGTTGGAGGCATTTGTTGCGAAGAAATTAAAGAGAAATTGACTACTGATAAAATCTTAGGAGCTTCTTCCCAATCTGCAAAGCATTTGCATCGAAGAAAAAGAATGCTGCTTTCTGTAGCATATAATAATTATTAAAGTGATTGTATCATGGGCTGACATCAGATAGGGAACCATAAGAAAACCTCCATGGAGTTAAGAGTCATGATCAAAGTCACAAACTATGTTTTCCAACAGTTCCCTAGCCGATGTAATATTACAATGGAATCCTGTAACCAGTCAGTCATATTCCTGCGAATCTGCATTGCAATTAAAACTATTTCATTTGCTAAATACAACAAATGCGGCTAAAAGAAATCTTCGTCAGTTTAACTCGCACTTGTACTGGCAAATCAGTATTAGTCTCTGTGAATACCAATGCCAGGGGAACGGCCAAACATCTTGCTTTTCGTTTCCCGGACTAACTTACGTTTCTCAAAGTAGTCTAGATGGTTTTTGAACATGCAGCTTTTATAAAAATCTTATTTTAATTAAATAGATGACGCGTTATATGTACATCAATTGTATTTCATTACGCCTAACCTAATTAAATGGTAAAATCTGGCTTTTTCCCTCTGTATGTAACGACGCATATCCTAAAACAGACCCTTTCTCAACTTACCAGATTGATAGAGCAGATTCACGGGAATCACAGAATAATGTTTTTTCGTCAGTGCTGTGCTTCAACGTCACCGCCTGCAAAAAGTGTTGTCACGTCTTGAAAGCGAAATTGATATCTGACTCAAAATTTGCTCTCTGTATAACCTGTCCTTTCAAATTTATTTATTCAAATTGAATGAGAATTCTTTTAAAAACTTACAATTCGCTATTCGAATAACGGCAGGTTGTACGAAAAACTTTTTTTTTCTCTTGTAGGTTGTCGCAAAAATTTAAATAAATTCACGGATTTGTTTGAAATCTGCCATCTCTTATAATGTCATTTTCGTTGTCCGTATCACTTTTATTGAGGCCTCTTTTCGCAACAAAATATCGACGTCAGAACAGACACAACGAATACATCGACATTTTGCCAGGTTTCAGAGCTCAGTGTCTGGACGATGCGCAGTTTTTGAAGTGTATAACCTTGAAGTGTGCTCCGAAATAACTGAAAGTAATAAGCAGTTTCAGTTATCCGTAGATGTGTTATGATATATTTATACATGAATTCGGCAGCTAGAAATTCCACTAGTAATAGTGCTGTTTTCTGCTTCGACAGGATTACTTATTCACAGAGAAATGGCTATTGCATATGCTTTCAAAGTAATATTCAATATTGTTTAAATACTATCTAGCTTGATTTCCATATAGCTTAAATGAAAGCGTCATTCGCACATGTTGTCTGCCTTTACCATTGTTTCCTTCTGTTATTGTTTCGGTTTTGAGCTTTGAAAAGACACTAAATTCATCCGTACGATACTCGACATTCCTGCCGATG